AAAATATTTGAATGTTTTATTTCAAGGAATTATATTAAAAACTGCCCACATCTATTAAACTACAAATAAGAGTTCTTTGAATACAATATTCCAGCAAGCAAAAGCTGTAGGCTTGAAAATTAAAAAAAAAAATCCTGTAAAGCTAAGTATACTCCTAAAGAGAGAAAAATAAACTTTTAATGGAGTAGAAAACTTTTAAACATCCCTTAGGAAAAGACAAGTACTGTGTAGGAATGTTGAAATTCAAACATAAGAGTGAAAAAGAATCTATTGAGGTCTTTTCAAAGGGGGGCTCTATGATAATGTGGTTCTGACATTTTAGTAGGGAGAGAAGAAATGTGTATTCTTTCAGAATTTGAATATCTTAAATGAGTAAAATAATAAAATGGAGGTACTAGGGTGGGTTTTGTTTTGATGTTTTTAAGGAGAGAAATAGAAGGGAGCATAAAAGGAATATACTAGTAGAAAGATGGAAGAGGATACAACTCGGTATTTCTGAAAATCAGGGTTCATAAGAAGAACATAGAAACATGGAGATAGTGGTAAATGTTGTAGACATAAGATCAACTACTCTCTGATCTTAATTGGATTATATGGGTTGAACACACAGTGTAGTGTAAAAATATACCAATCTCAGCACTAGGAAACAAGTAGCAATGAGGGTGGAGTTAAGAGGGAAGATAATAGAAGAGACAGCATAACTGTATGCAAAACCATCATTGTCATTATGAAAGAGGCATTAAAAGAGAAATATATACATATATGTATATATGTATGTGTATATGTGTGTATATATATGCACATGCACATGCACATGCACATACATATACATATACATATACATATACATATACATATACATATACATATACATATACATATACATATACATATACATATACATATACATATACATATACATATACATATACATACATATTTCAAGAGTATGCTTAAATAACCTGTGGTATATTAATGAAAAGGAGCATTATTATGCACATAAGAAATGGTGAAAGCAACAATTTCAGAGAATCTTAGGTAATACAATTTGATGTCAAGTGAAATAATCAGAAAGATAAAAATTTATATAAGGACAAAAATAGTGTAAATATGGAAACAGAACAACCAAATAAATTTGAAAGACTTAAAAATTCTGATCAATGCATTGTGCAACCCCATCTCCAGAGGACCTAGAGTGAAGCACATTATCTCCTGGAAGAAGGGGTGGACTCAAGGGGCAGAAACAGACATTAGATTTTTGGACCTGAGCACCGTGCAGATTCTCTTTGCTAAAATGTTCTCATTTATTACAAGTGGGGATACAGATTATTAGTAGTAATGCTAAAAAATGAGGGTCACTGAAACTTTTTTTTAAGTCAAAGAAAGAATCAGAAGGAAGTTCAGAAATAAATATACATAATTAGGATAGTTTTAAAAGTAAATGGATTTGTTACATATTTTTAATGAAATGGTTAAGAAATAGCAATTCTTGGTTTCATATATAATCATGAAAATGATCATACGTAATCACAAAAATGTCTAAATATTAAAAAATAAGTTAAAAAATGAAGACATACTCACGGGAATGTGTATATGTGCTCACCTGATCCTACCATTCCCTCAAACTATGGTTTTATGTCCCTTAATCATTTCACAGTCAAACTCCTAGACAAAGTTGCCTACGCTTCCTTCCCTTCTTCCCAATCACTTCTCAGTCCTTGCTAAGTGAGCTTATCACTCAGCTAGAAGTACTCTCCAAAGGTACTAATGCAACAAGTGTTTCCATAACATAGCAAATCGAATGGCCTTTTCTCAGTCTTCATCCTTTGAAGCTCTTAACACTAATGACTGTTCTCTCTCCTTGACTATTTTCTACCCTCTGGGACTCCAAGGCACCACTATCTCTCAGCTCTTAGACTTCCCAGCTGAGTATTCTTTTCTCTCCTCTACTTTATTATCATCCCTATCCTGCCCCTTCATTATACATATGCTCCAAGACTCTGCCCCATTTTTCTTTCTCTTCTCTATGCATTCTTACTAGGTGACCTCATCATCTCCAAATCTACATCTATAAATGTAATGATCACTTGTATACAGATAGTTCTCAGATCCATACACTCAGTCCTAGTTTTTCTGCAGAGCTTCAGTTTAGCATCAACACAGCTTGGTATGCCAGAAAAGATTTAAAAAGACTGAAAAAACTGAAAAATGATTTAGAAACCCAAAGACTAACTAAATAAAGTGTTTTCCTTTCTACTAAGATTACACAAAAAGACAGTGGGAAGCATAAATACACTGGGAAAGAAATCCAACCAGGAAAACCAATGCCAGCAGATGAAACTAAGCCAGAATCTAAGTGATACTCAGATCAGAGCTATCTGATCTTTCCAATTAGATGTCCCAAGTACTCCTCTACCTCAACATATTCAAAAGAGGACTCATGACTCCAACCAAATCTGACCCTCTTCCAAATGTCCTTGTTTTCTAAGACAACACCATCCTCCTCCTCAGAGTCTTTCTGAACTCTTCTCTCTCCTCTTTCCACATATGGAAACACTTGCCAAACTTTAAGGTTTCTACCTCCACAACATCTCTCTAGCCTCTCCTCCTGCATGGTCATCAGCCTGGTTCAAGCCCTCATGATGTCTTGCCTGGACCATTACCAGATCTTCCTCTCTTTTAGCATATCTCTTCTCCATCCCATTTGAAACCATTGCTCCCTTTTGTCACTGATGCCCTCTTCCCTCTGGGATAAAATATCACACGAGCTTGCCACTTAAAATCCTTGAAAATGTGACTCCAGCTTACCTTGCAGACATATTGGAGTGGCTTTTGTTCACTCCCTCCACATTCCAGGCAAACAAATCTACTTTGGGAGCCCCAACCTTGTCATTTCTGCCTTCGTGTTTTTTGCATAGACCACCCATTCTGATGTGCACCCCTAACTTACCTCTGCCTTAAAAAACCAGCTCAGATTTTGCCTTTGGGAAACTTTCCTTTGTCCCCTTAGTGGCTGTCAAATGATCCCTGTCTGCTGAGTCTTCTGTAGCCAAATGTGGGCTTCCTGAGGGCAGGGACCATTGCTTTGGGGGCTTCGGATCCTCTGTGCCTAGCACAGCTGCACAAAGATTTGAGTTCTTGCCTGTTTACAGGTTCCAAATAGCTAGTAGAATAGAAAGTCATTCCTTGGGGAGAAGTCTCAGTTTCATTTTGTTCTTTGAATTCCCAGCATCTGACATGGTAAAGAGCGCATAGCAGGTATGCAGTGTGTGCTTATTAGGTGGACTTGGCTTAGCTTGGTCAAATTGAAATACTGACACTTCAGGGGACCTTGATTTGGACTCAGGGAGCAGTCTGATAGTCATACACGTTTGTTTGAGCCTTCGTTACCTCAATATACTTCCTCTCTCCTTCCAGGTTTCTTCTTCTGTAAAATTAGGAATTTGGACTAAATATTGTCCAAGATTCCTTCCTTTGCTAAATTCTTTGATCTTCTGTTCCTTTGGCTCATTTCACTATTGTGTATCTCCTCTCCTTTGGCATGGGAGCTACCAGTTACCACCATGCCCAGTAGATACGGTCCAATAACCAATTCAAATTATTTTCATGTGACCTGATATTGAGCAGCTTCCTGGACATCCAGTGGCATTCACACGCCCCCAGATCATGCCTAGAGCACTGTTAATAGAAAATGCTCATGCAGGGAGACTATTTTAAAACAAAAGGAAAATGAAGGAAAACAAATCTGAACCTGATGTGTTCAGTTGTTTTCTTATCTCTCCACTTCATGAAGTTGAATCTATAACTGGGAGTTTGATGACAATAGCCCATGGAATTATGGTCTGTAATTTCAGATAAAGCAGGTCCTGTATCTTCAAAGACATGCCACCTACTGCATTGTATGCTAAGTTGTGAATATTTGTCAAGTGAAATACAAAAAGAATTTTTAAAAAAGCAAAGCTACTTTAATGCCAATTAACAAATCTATAATTAATTAGGAAAATGATCTTCCCTCCATGTTTCGCATATTGTAGCGCAAGCTGTCTGAGCTGGCACCAGCTCAGGCCTGCCAGTCTGTGGGATTCACAATTCACAGATGTTAGGAACTATCAGACTGAGCGTGGGAGGAGAGTGTCAAGTTTTAAATAGCTTTTCTCTGCCATCCTGGCTGAAGTAGCAAAGAAAATGTTTCCCTGTAGCACCTTCCAAACCCAAATTTCCTCTAAGGAAACTTCTCATTTTTCCAGGGTGATTGCCCACCTGCCTGCCTGCCTGCCTTTTGGCTTTTATGGCTGGCATTTGCTGAGATCAGCAGACTCCCAGGTGCACCATGGGGAGGTGACCAATAGGGCCCGGAACTGGGACACTGGTGACAGTCACTCCAACTCTATTTTCTTCTGGTGGAGTCGGGTTTAATTTAGCTCCTGATTCATATTTCATTCACTCCCCAAAACCACAAACCCAGAATAGGTCTGTCGGCAATGGCATCTGGAGTAAGAGTGACAAGCTGACTTGGGCTGTGCATTTCCTATTGGTAAATCTTCCCATGTGGGACAATATTTTGGGGTTCCTCTCTGAGTTCCAAGAACACACTTCACAGAGAGTGTTGTTGATTTTGTTTTATTTTTAAACAGACTCAGGCATTTGACCTTTCAGAGAGTTGGGATAGTTTTTCCTAAACATCTAAGGCTTAGCATTTAATACATAGATTCTCGTCAATTTTTGTAGCCCTTGTGGAATTTTGTTCTTTCAGTGTCTGAGAGAGGATTTCAAACACTTTGAAATACTCATCTGTCTTTTTTGGGAAGGAGATAGAAGCAAGGAGGCAACTTTCCAAAGGTCAAGAGTAAAGAAACTGAGGGTAGATCTTTATTTTTTCTTTTTTCCCCCCCTCCTTCCTAGAGGATAGGCATTACTTCCCCATTAAATGTGATCAAGGAATTTTTCTGTCTTTGCCATTTGAGATTGTGACTACAACACAAATTTGGCTGGAAGAGAAAATGAAGGAGAAAGGAAGTAGAGAGGAACAAAACAAAGCTAGACTTTACTAAATGGCTGCAAACCATTTGAACCCCAAACACAGCTCAACAGGACACTTGCCAAGGCAGAATCCAATGAGCAACAGGGAAAAGCAGGTCATCTGGAGTGGAGTGAACACACACCAGCCCCTGAGCTGCCCCGTTCCAAGAGTCCGAGCTGCTGAAATTAAACTCTGATGCCATTCCAGCAGCCAGCCAATCCCCAGAGAGATCAGAAGTTCAGAGATGCCACCAAGTTCCCCAGAGCAAATGTGGCTACTCTACGTCAAGAGCTGGAAAGAAGATGTAGAGACAGGAGGAAAACAACAGCGCAGAGGATGCCCAGCTGGTAAGAAAGGGCTGTTTGTGATGTTTGAGTCACCTGATGAATCTCATTGGCCATGGCCAAAGACAGCCCCACCTCTTGGCAGATGGAGGAAGAGGGGGCACTAAAGTTCTATATCTTATAGCAGTTGACCTGCTTGCTCTGAGCCTCCTGGCTTTATCTTGTCTATATATATATATATATATATATATATATGTGCATCTATCTCCTAGGCATATGTGTGTATATCATCTCTCTTTCCCTGCTTGTCTACGCCCAAGAGAGCTGGAAGAAATGAATGTCGAACCCTCACCATATCCCACCTTACCGTGCTGTCCTGACCCTTTCATCCAGCGGTGAGTTTCAGAGTGATGTGCTAACTTTTAGTCGAGTTTGAATGGAATGCCTTGTGACTTTATGAGCATTTTTTCAGTTTGAGAGAGTGAGGGGGAACAAAAACCACCCCAAAGCCAGAAAGGTTGCCCCTTCTGGCCCAGAGCAGTGGTGTGGTTAGGGCTTTCTAATTAACTTGTATCCCTTAATGGGCATCCTTTGTGGTTTCCTTTTCCGGGAAACCTTCAGAGCCAACAAGTGGTGATGTGTGCAGATGAGATGGCAGTCTGTTCCGGTTTCATTAATGATGGTAGAATTTCCAAGGGTCAATTTCTTTTTGCCTTGATTTCCCCCTTCTCCCCAGTGCTCCTGGTCCCCCAAGAAAAATAAATCCCATTGGACAGAGTAGAATGCCTAGGGATCATGTTCTCAGTGCAATCATCAAGTGAAAGACACCGACAGTCCATCTGCTGGAGAAATGATAAAGTGTGATTTAGCCACAGTCCTCCAGAGCAGTCCATGATGTATTCTCTGGGCCAGGGGTCTTGAAAGAGTATCTTTTCCTGATTTTCTTGGAGAGTAGGCATCATCTTTGTAAGCAGCCTGAAGCTTACAACGTGTTCTCTGCCTTTGCCTCACCCATGTCAGTAGAACAGGGGTATTGCTTAGTACTGAAAGAGATATTAGCAAGCAAGTAGGATTCTCTCTCTCTCTCTCTCTCTCTCTCTCTCTCTCTCTCTCTCTCTCTCTCTCTCTCTCTCTCTCTCTCTCTCATTTCGAAGAGAACTTGGCTATTTTTAAACTAGCAAATGTAATCTGAACAGTGTTTTTCCAGTCATAAAGTTACAGGAGATATTCAGATCCTATGTGACAGGGTCAAAAAATGGATTTGAGGTAGAATTAGGGCTTAGTTTAGGAGTGTGGCTGGACTGAAGATGGGATTGGTTGTTTTCCCCCAAAATAAGTTACTGAAAGAGGGCTGGTGGAGTTAAAAGAGTCAGGCTCAGTCGGGAAGGGTGGGCTCGTCATTCATCGCTGCTGCCTCCCACAGCCTCTGGGCCAGACTCAGGCTTGTAGAACCTGGAGTCCGGGTCCAGCTAGGGCTCAGTTTCTGTCACCTGGCCTGCCAGATTAGGGCAGCTCTGTGATCATCTTCCTCAAGTTTAATTTCTCACCATGTTTGACACTAACAAGGCCTCAGCTGCTCTTCCTGGGAGGTTCCTGGTCAGCAGGGTGAGAGCCCACCCAGGACACAAAACCAGGGAGGGAAGAAATGGGAGTGGAGAGAGAGGCCGTGGGAAGGAAACCAGGCAGATGCCATCCAGTCTGGAAAAAACAAGCAGTTGGGATTTCTTGGGCTTGGGTTTGAAAGTCCCCACTTTTCCCAAGCCTGGAAGTCCCTGCCTCTCCCCAGACTGCATGAAGTCAGAGGGGGAAGAAAGGGAAGAAATAATTCACATGTTCCTAATCTCCTGTCTCAAAGAAATTTCAAAATTCTGCTCATTCTTCTGAGATGAAACATGAAAGAATGTGACACCAGTGATACTTTTTTATTCAATACTGTAAGGATTGCATAGAGCTTTTGATCAGTTATTCCCAGTTAGTCCTCAGAACAACCTGGGATGCAAGGGCAAATACTACCCCTACTTTATAGATGAGGAAAGTGAAACACAGGAAGGTTAAGTGATTTTGCCCAGAATCACACAGCTAGTGTCTAAGGCCACACTATCTACTGTGCCACCTAGCTGTCACAAAGAGAGCAGCTTCTTTTGGGGGCTTCTCTCAGTACGTCAACATCTACTCAACCTGGTGTCTTGTGAGGAGAAACTGCCTTTGGCAACTTTTGGTCAAGTTGATTCTGTTCTCTTCTGGCCAGAGGCTACCCCACTGACCAAAGGTGGCAGAGCAGTGCAGCAAAAAGCAAAGTATATTTCTTGTTGAGGGAGGCAGATCAATCTGGAAGCCCCCACTGCCTCTGAGTTTTCATGTCAAGATGGCAGACCCAGGATCCCAAAGGATCTAATCAGTTTAAAATGGTCTAAAGTCCCCAGCAGGACCATAGACAGCCAAGGAATTGCAGGAGTAGTAAGGAGTCAGGGATAAAGCAGAAGAGTCTGTGCTCTCACAAATGCAGATTCGAGCCACTTTCCAGGAAAATAAGTTTGTGTGACTCAAAGAAAGAACAGCAAAATTGGTTAGTTGAAATTTGATGATTATTAGTTAAAGTACATTGTTCTAGGAATGCTGAGAAGTATTTGCTGACGACAGAAGGCCGTTTCTTGGAAGTGACACATTGGCCTGGTACAATAGATTAGGTACCTAATAAATGCTTGTTGATTCATTGATGTCATGCTAAATATGATCAATATCTCTGTGAGAAATAACAGTTTGCCTGTGGTTTTTCATTTAATAGTTGTAAGGATGAACTTGTGTTTTGGGCCAGAAATGACTAGTTTGGGCTAGTTTTACGTGTCCTGTGAAATGTCCCCATCAGAAACGTTTCTGTTTGTCACATGAAGAAACAGAGCTGTTGGTGATGCTGAAGGAGTGAATGAATTGGAGCTGGTCATTCCCATCAGCCAGTGCCCGGACTTCTCAGTTTACAAGACCTATTTTAGGAGAGACCATACTGAATCACTTCACAGACATAGTCACCTACAGTGTCAAATTTGTCTTTTCTTGACCTTGGCTTTATAAAGAAATGTTGTAAATAGAGAATGGAAAACTCAAGGTGTACTGATCTTCAGACCCAATCCGCTTCTACTCCCTCAGAGAAGGGCCCACTGAGGAGCTGTCAGCAGCTAATGACCAGGACAGGTATGTTATTGTGCTTCCATACAAGGCCATTTAAGTGTGCATCTCCAAAAGAATAGTGGATTTTAGCCACACAGCGTTAGAGGTCAGAGGCAAGGCCTCACTACAGGTTATGCTTCTGGTAGCCTGTGGTATCCTTCTTCAGCAGCTTTGAGGTTGAAATGTTGATGAGGTTGGTTTGCTTTAACCTGTAAGAAAACTCTTCAAAAGCCAGAAAGCTGAGTGGGAATAAGGAACTGTGGTCTACTTCCTCCTGATCTAGACCCACAAAGGCAAGCAGATGAGGAATAGCTACCTGGGAATACAAGGCGGTAAGGAAATTTCAGATGAGGAAACCATTTCAACAAAACTAGCTTTCACCGCCTCTGGTGTAAACTCTTGAAGAGGCCATCTGATTGTTCAAATCACCTTGTGTTGTCTTTGTATATACTTGTAGGTGATGTTATAACTCGACTGCGTTGCCCTTGAGATCACAGATGGTTTCTGTTTTGTCCTGGTATCTCTACCAGCTCATACAGTTCGTGACACAAAACGGGAATTTAATAAATGTCTGATGATTGACTTCATGGTAGTGGTTGCAAACAGCCTTTCTAAGTAGAGTTTCACTAAAGGAAGTCTGGGCTATGGTGGAAAGCATTCTGGATTTGGAGTTAGGGGACCTGTATTGAAAACTGGCTCTGCTCCTTACTCTCTGTGTAACCTGAGGCAAGTCACTTAAGATGCCTCTCCAGGACTCAGTTCCCCATCTATAGGCACAGACTCCTGTTTAGGGTAAGTTTGATCTCCAAAAATATTGTTAAAACGTGTGAAAATGACCCATCTTTAAGGACTTATGAATAAGCAAAAACTTTTAAGGCTACTTGGACTGTTGATATAGCTGAACAAAATCACATTATGACTTCTGCCCTTGTAGGGCTAGGTCATGTTAGACAACCATGCAGCCCCCTGGATATAGGCAAAGTAAAGCCCTTCTATTTGGAAGCAATTGTGTGATCTTGCTAAAACAATAGCTTTTGCATGCACTGCAAAGATTATAGTGAATTTTAACAGTTGTATGATTAGAGGGTGAGGCAGCATAGAGACAGCATTAGACTTGTAGGCAGGAAGACCTAAATTTGAATCCCATCTCAAACACCTGCTATTTGTGCAACCCTAGGCAAGGCATTCAATCTCTCTCAGCCTCAGTTTCCTCATCTGTAAAATGAGGATAATAACAGTACCATTTCATAGGATTGGTGTGAGGCTCAAATGAGATAACTTACCAAAGTGTTCTGCACATCTTAAAACCCAGGTCTTCCTTCCTGAGGATAGCTCCCTATTCAAAAAGTCCTCTCCCCCCTCAATTTTCTTTAAGGTTACTATGATAAAATTGTTTGCTGTTTAAGATTCTAACACCTTTGCAATCAGCAGACAAATCTGCTTCAGATGGGTCCCTTGGCTAAATGACCCAACAGGTGTTTGTGTTTCCCAGGAGCCATCATTCAATCCATGGGAGGATGCTGGGAGATACACGAAGCTGCTGTTGTGACTCATGAATTGAGGGAGGAGATTAGACATACAAAAAGCAATTCAGAGCCAGCATGCCATCCTCATCGCATTCTGCCCAGATCCATGGACGACCTCCTGGCACACTTCATTGTCAATATTTTGGTAAAGTCCTCATGGCATAGTGGGAAGAATGTTGTATTTTTGTCTGAAGGACAAAGTTTGAGGACCCGAATTCAAATCTCACCTTTCACAAATACTGGATGTTTGTTTGATCTTGAGCAAAGTCATTCAACCTCTCTCAGCCTCAGATTCCCCATGTGCAAAATGGGGATAATAATAGTATTGCTGTTAAGTATCATTGTAAGCTCCCCATGATCTATAACCCTATCGATCTCTGATTTATTATAAAGCATCTGAAGTACTCCCAAACAAGGTTATGTTCATATACCAATATTCTTCACTCATTTTAAAATATATTTATCTAAAATTCCTTTCCTCAATCCTCTCACTTCTGCTGCTTTAACATTTATGAATTGGGTTGCAATTGAGATTGTCCCTGCCCTCACATTGGTGACTGAGAGAGACAAGAAAGCTGAAAAACTGACTCATTGAAACTCCTAGAAAGATAGCATAGGAAGTTTTAGTCAGCCTTAGTCTACTTATCTATAAAATGGGAAAACAAATGTCCTTTATAGGCTGTTGTGAGGATCAGCTGAGTTGGTGAATGTGAAGTTATTTGCAAACTTTTCAGTGCTGTATCAAGACAACTTTTTTTTCATCTTTATAAAATTTTATTGATGACTTGTTTCTTATTTATCAGTTATTTCCAAGTGTTCCTTCCCCAGGGCCTGGCAGAGAGTCATCCTTTATAACAAACAGTGTTTTCTTATGGAGGAGGGAAAAGTTGGCATACCTAGTCAATATATATAGTATGTATATATATATACATTTTTTTTAAACCAAAGCCATGTGCCAAAGTGTAAGACCTGTGGACCTCGCACCCCCACAAAGGGGCAGGTTTGGAGCATCCTCTCATACTTGGAGTCTGTTTGATCTTTGTAATTTGTTTTGCTTTTTGGCATCATTGTTTCCTTTTACATTATTACAGTCATTTTGTGTGGTGTTTTCTGGGCTGTGCTTACTTCGCTCGGCCTCAGTTTCTATAGTTCTTTCCACGATTCTGTGTTCACACACATCATTCCTTACAGCACAGCGACATTACATTACATTCATGGACCACAGTTTGTTTAGCCATTCCCCAATAATGGGCATCAACTTTGTTTCCAGTTATTTGCAATGATTAAAAAAATAATAATAATAAAGTTCTGTTACACTGTCACAAGTGTTTTGGCATATGCGGTAGGGACTTTTTTCTTACTGATAGCATTCTTGGGGTATAAGTCCAGTAATAGGATCTCTGGTTCAAAGGTTGTGCTTTCCTTAACCTCTCTGCTGACCTCTAATCTCTGCCTGCCTTTCAGACATTTCAAACTGGATGTCCAGTAGACATCTTAAACTCCAAATGTGCAAAACTGAACTCATGCTTCCCCAAAACCCTCCTCCTCTTAACTTCCCTATTACTATTGAGGGTAATCCTCCCAGCCCCCCAAGTTCACAACCTAGGTGTCATCCTCACCTCCCCAGTTATCTCTTACCACAGCATCCAATCTGTTGCCGGGGTCTTTTGATTTCGCCCTGGCAACCTCTCTCCTAAATGCTTCATTCTCTCCTTTTATACTGTCACCACCCTAATTTCAAGCCCTCACCAACTTAGAGAGTTACCAGTAACGTAACCTGTGTATGTCAGAAACAGAACCTGAATCCAGTTCTTCCTCGCTCCAAGGCTAGCTCTATCATCTAGAAAAAACAACAACGACAATGACAACAACAAAACATTATTTTTTAAGGGAAGATTGAAAGAATATATTACTTTATTTTTAAAATCCTTCCCCACTGATTACAAAGCTAACTGGCAGTTCATTGGGAAAAAAAAATAAAAATAAAACCCTGTCTAAAAGCTACTCCCTGACTCTGAAAAAAAAAGTGCTCAAAGGATACCAAAAGAATTTCAAACTAATAACCACATGAAAGTGCGTTCCATATTACGGAGAAATGCAAATCAAAACAACCTCAGGGTTTCACCTCACACCCAGAAAACTGGCAAAAATGACAGAAGAAAGTCAGGGTTTTCAAGGAGACTTTTGAGTGTCGTGTTAAAGTCAAAAATGCCCAAAACAGTCCAGTCCACTGCTCTACTCTCTTGGAAGGAGGAGAATAATGTGCATTGTCCGTATCGTGTGAGATAGGGAAGGTTGAGAAGAATTGTCCAATGGACTTCAACACAGTATTGCTTTTACCTGGGAATCTCTTTCACAGCCTAGATAATGCTTATTTTTATTGTTTTCCTCACCTTATATTCAATGGAGGCCCAACAGAAACAGTACTGGAGAAATGGATAGCCTATAATTTTATTTGTAGGCTTAATGTTGGGCAGACTGCTGCACTGCTGAATGAAAGGAATCTTTTGGGTAATGAAATAGCTCACCTTCAGTCAGTCAGTCAGTCAATGAGCATTTATGAAGCACTTCCTATGTGCCATACCCTGTGCTAGGCACTGAGGACACTTACAAAAAGGAAAAAAAAAATCTTTGCCTTCAAGTCACATTCTAGTGAGGAAGACAACATACAAAACAATAATGTGTGTGTGTGAACACATACAGAGTCTATGGAAAGAAGTCTGAGGAGGGTGGCCAGGGTGGGGGGCGGGACTCAGGAAAGGCCTCCTGCAGAAGGTGAAAGCGTGTTTGATAAAACTCCAGAAGCAGACAGGATGATTGGGATGCTACATACCCCATCCTGTTCCCACACGTCCTTCATATGTTTGGCTGGATCTCTGGATTATGAACATTTGTCGTTCTACATAGCTTCAGAGTCATAAATATTTACTGTGGCTATACCTTTAAAAAAAGAAAAGAAAGAGCCAGTTTGAGGTTTAATTGATATATATATATATATATATATATATATATATATATATATATATATATATATATATATATATATATATGTTTAATTGATATATGGAGCTTTCAGGTGAGGAAATTCCTTGTATCAATGAAGGTAGGGATCTTCTCTGCAATCTATAGTCTCACAAAATTGCCTAGCAGTGAGTTGCCTGGGGTCGTACATCCTGTGCTCATAAAAGATGGGAGAATTGAACCCAGGCATCCTTAGGTCCAAGGTCAGCAATTCATCTATCAGGTCATACTGCATTTGTTTAAAAAAAAAACTGGGGATCTTCCAATTTTATGGGGTGACATCATGTCCAGCTGATCTTTGGGAACAGTTTGGTTGAGAAGACACTCTGGTCCCAGTTTTCTTTATCATTCGAACTCTCCAGGATATTCTGGGCTCTGCATTTATGGGATAGGAAGAGTTTCTGAAGGAGATGAAGCTTTTGTTTTGAAAAACTGAGGTCATCAACCTGAATACACTTGAAGCAAGAATGTTCATGTCTACATGTGTATGTACAAGTTTACATTCTTGTGTGTGTCAGTGTGATTGTGTGTCTGTGTGTGCATTGTGCCCATTAGCTCACTGGAGCCTCACAAAAAATCTGTGAACTTGATAAGGACTTCTTTTTGACCCCATTTACATAGGGAACTAGCTCACAGAATTGTTTGGAAGTATCTTAGGGGTTAAAGGAGTCTCGGGGATGTCTGTGGTCACAGTGCACTGTAAGTATAGAGAAAGGATTCAAACCCATGCTTTGCTGACCGGAATGTGACTTCTAATCACTATACCACCCTGCCAAGGTGCAGAATACTATGTCTACTGATCACCAAAAGTGCAGAAATCACCTCAGTCCCATTTGGCCATATTCCTTCATCAAATTCAGAATTTAAAACTTCACCTTATGTCCTGTACCATCACAGAGAGAGAGAGAGAGAGAGAGAGAGAGAGAGAGAGAGAGAGAGAGCGCCGTAATTTCAACATGATACCTATTTTGAGTGTTATTTACATGCAAGGCATGGCATCACCTTCCTGATATTATTGTCCTCTTCAAACATGAAGGAAAACCAAGCAAAACAAATAATATTTTGAGTGTATCAAAATCAATTGTAATGAATTCTGACCATAACAAGGAGGACCTGCAAAAATAGATTCCAAAAAGAAAAGTTACATTTGGCCGTCTTCTTAGAGGAATGTCCCCTTTGAACATAAATCTTAGTTAATATTAATCATGTGTCAAACTGTCAAGTTGATATAGAGAGAATTGGTCAAAAGAAAGGTTCATTGGAAAACCATTCCTTTGCCATCAATTCAGCATATTGGAGTTTGTAGTCAGGTAAAAGGGACACAGTCCTATCTCGCCACATCCCCTCTTCCCATGTTAGGCACCCAACCCCATATTAGCTGCAGAGGAGTAACAAGGCAAAGGAATGGCAATATCTGCACCACCACCCCTCCACCCCTGAAAGTGCAGACGTCCCTGCGATGTGAAGCTGGGAAGCCTCCTTTACTTAAAAGCCAATGAATCTTGGCATGACAGCAGCCCTTCCTGAGCTGGCTTTTAAGTCAAGATCCCCCTCTCTTAGTGGCCAGAATTCTTTTACAACTCTGAATGGTCCTGATGGGTGTTAGGCCTCCTAAAAGGCATCTGTCAAGGGGGAGACCCAAGCAACAAAGGTAAGACAGAAAAGACACTGTAATTATCATCAAAGGCCAATGACTGCAGTGTATGTAATTAGCCACTTCCCAAACCACAGAAAGCTACTTTGTTCAGTTGGAACCAGACAGAGGAGTGGACATGGGGATGATATTTACATATCAATTCATTAGTGAGATTTCATTCTCATAGTCTGCTCCCCACTTATTGCTTTGCACTGTGTGTGTGTGTGTGTGTGTGTGTGTGAGTTGCTTTCTCTTTTTCTCTGTTCCCCTGGCTCTGTTTGTTTCTCTCTCATCTCTCTCTTTCTCTGACCCTTTGAAGTTCACAACAGATTCAACAAATGTAAAAGAAATGCTTGCTCTTCACTTTCATGCTTCCTGTCTGCTTTCCCCTTTCATTTCTGATGCATGAACCAAATCTGCCCATCCCACTGATGGCAGTGGCCGTTCTCGAAATTGAATTAGTTGTGTGGAGCTTCCTCACAATGAGAGCCCGAGCTGGCACAGACTCCATAAGAAAAAGTATGAGAAGGAACTGGGAATCAGGAGGGATGGAAAGAAACCTTTCTGATCTAGTAAGAGTCACTTAGCCAAATGGTAATTTAGGGAATGCTGTTGTATGTTGAAACAGTAATCACACAGTCTGGGTCATAGCAAAAACCTTCATCTTCAACACATACTGGGAAGAGCAGCTCAGTCTAAAGGATGGAGGGCTGTCTATGACATTGGGAGGCCTGGGTTTTAGTCCTGCCACTAACCTAGTAGTTGTGTGACTCCTAGAAAGTAATTTACCCCATCAGTGCCCTACTGAGCCTTGGAGACTTGTAAGAGGCAAGTGGCCCATCTGTTTTGGGAAAAGGAGCTTCTCCATTGGAGGTTCCCATTCACATATCATGTTAAAGCAATCACAACCCTCTCCCTTTCCAACTTTCCTGTGGGCCTTGTTTTCCTCCATCAATACCCAAATTAACTATAAAGGAGATATAAAGAAAGATACTATCTGCATCCAGAGAAAGAACTGGATGGATAGATGGATAAACAGATATATAGACAGACAGATGATGGATGGACTGATGGATAGATATAGATAGATGATCTACATACATAGGTAGATGAAATAATAGGTCCATCCTACTTTACCCTTCCCATCCTTGCCAATGTTACTATTGCTGAT